GGCGGGGTTCACTAGTAGGGATAATTAGTCAAATATTTTTTTAATACTATTTTTAAAGCGATTGGAGAAGTTCTGGATGTTCTGAAGTCCAGTTTTGATGTGAGTGTTGCACTGAACAAAGTAATGATTCCTGGCGGATTGGTGAAACTACAAAAGTCTGGACATACATTCAGCACAGCATTCCTATAACTGATGTGATGTTGTTCTTATCACAACTCCAAAGGACAGTAGTTAAATTTGAAGCATGTGATGGACTCTATTTTAGCACAATTTCTTTAGATCCAATTAAAAACCAGTTAATTCCACACCACGCCAAGTGTGGGTCTTACTTGGGTTCACATTGTTCTTCAGGCCTTCAACTACCTGGAGTTGCTATTGAATCAACAGCACCACTTCTGATTGCAGCCAATACTGTACTCAATTTTGCCCTAATGTTTGAAGCCAGTAATAAACCAACAAGCATACAAAATAATCAGAATTCATTGTTAATAAGTCATTTTAAATTGGTCACAGTGGCCTTTGGAATGTGAAAATTACAGCTACATAAATTCCTCAAATGTGATTGCGTTGTAGGTGGATGTGATCAAAAGTGGATCAAATACTAAAACAGTAAATTGTGTGGACCATAATTTCCAGAGTACAAAATGCACCTGATTGAAGGCTGTATCAGGTAAATTTAGATGTTTTTTACATACATTAGTCACTTTGTATTAATAGCCACAGGTATCAATGTTATAACATGGGATATTTGCAAAGAAAGTGGTCACAATGATGGATTTTTTTTTTTTACTTTGATTTCCCTGAACCCATTCAGGTACAGCGGTTACTACAGTGGACAACCTTATTATTCAGATTCAGATTCAGATTCAGAAAACTTTATTCATCCCCATGGGGTAATTGGACTTAACAGGCACGCTTTGCACAAGAAACATGAAAAACAAAGATGAACATGGGATACAGTGCGAAGGGCCTGTCGGTAATCGCCGTAAGTACAGCGCCCCGAGATCTTAGATGAGAAAAGTAAACACAAGGGAAGGAGGGGATAAAAAAACCATGCTCGAACTATCCTCTTCTGAGGATAATTTAAGTCTAGGAGAAAAAAATTCCCTGCACATCAAGCATATGACAGTTACAACAAGACACAAGACATAACGTGATGAGGGGGGGCGGATGGATGTTATGTTATCAGGTCATAGGATGCATGAAAGGGTTAAAAACCGGTAGATGCTTTTTTTTTTCTCCAAACAATCCCCGATGCAGCTAGCTACACAGAGGTGTCCCAGAACGTTTTATAGTCACTCATGTTGTCACACGAGGGCAACTCGCCAACAAGCTTCATCGGGCAGAAGGGCACAAAAGTCCGTGGTAATGCATCCTTTCAAAAGCCGTTTATTACTTGTTTAGGAGACGCAGGGGATGTTGCTCCATGGTCAGACACAGTGTCTTCCATGTAAGGCTGAAACAAGCCCTCAAGTAATACAGGTACCACAGTCCCCCTCAAAAATTTTTTACTCGCTTATTTATGTGTACACTGCAAGGAGGAAATAATCAAGCTAACCGCAATAACGATTGTTCATGCGATGCAGTACGCCGGCAACGATGTGAAAAGGACAATTTGAAAATTAACCCTCCCTTAACAAATAATATATGGACATCAATGCCTTGGTACAAATTGATGCTGACAGCATGTCGCCGTGTAACGGCATCACCTTAGATGTAAGATTGGGCCAAAAAATCCAGCCCGATCCGACCCGGCCCGCGGGTATTCAAGCCCGACCCGGCCCGAGCCCCATCCAATTAACTTGATTTGCAGGCCCGAGCCCGAAGCAAACCCGAAATTTCATATTTTATTTGTGAGGACTCGGGAGGAGGAAGGGTGATTTCTGATAACATATTAAAGCCTGTCTTTTGTAACGAAATCTAAGATAAACAAGACTGTATAAACATTTACATCTTTTATATTTCTGTTTCTGCAGAGGGTATATTAACTGATAATTTTCTATTATTGGCGGATGTTTTTAAGAGTTGGCGGGAAAAATTTAAGGCCGTCCATCATTTTGACGGGTTGAAAATTGGGCCATTAACCACAGCAGCAGTACGTCCTTAAGAATCTAGCGCAGCACTTTAAGAGAGAGAAGCAGAGACACAAAGAAGAACAATGACAAAGAAGAACAATGACGGGTGGATAATAGACAGAGACATGATTGAGTTCTTTGAATTGTCATTGCAAGAGTTTAGTACAGTACGTGTTGAGATGAGGCGACTTCTGTTTTTTTGCGAACCACGGTCTCTCGTGGCCAAAACTATTCACGGCCTCGAAACGTGATGTTTGGGTAGCAACATCACAGTGCGTTGTTATACCTGTATATTTATTTAAAAAAAGTCAGCGAGAGAGAAGCCCGGCCCGACCCGAAGCAATAATTGACATTTTAGGCCCGACCTGACCCGACCAGGCTCGGGCTCGGGCTTCAGATCTTACCTCTACATCACTTGACTCATTTTCGAGAATCATTTTCACAAACTGTTGCGACCAGCGTCAACACAACATTGTCCTGAAACAACGTTAAATCGTTAATTAAAATATAACTTTAGGCGGACACTGTATTGTACGGTGCCTGTTGCCAGCATTTTATGGCGGTTCCAGCACTCGCAGCTCGCAGCTCTAGCATCACTCAAGGGCACAACACAGGGTGGCGAGAGCCGTCGGATTACATTTCAAAGGTAGTTTAACAGACATACAAAGTCAATGACTGGGCACAATTTCATGCTGAAAGTCTGGCACATTTGTTGTTCCTGCTGATCACTTTTGAACAAACAAGGCTTACTCATGTGTTGGTGTAGCAGGCAAAATCGCTACTGTGCATCTGACGTCACTTTGTCTCATAGACAAAAATACATGGGAGAGATTTGTCTACATCTCACTAATGTTTGCAGAGAGGAAAATAGTGTGCTGCTGCCAGTATGCAGTTTCAATTTAGTACAACTTTTTGAGTATGTAACCAGGAAAACCAGCTGGAAGCTGGTCATTTGTTATTAAGTGGAAATGTGTGTTTTTTTTTTGGCTTCTGCATTCAAAACCTTTCAATTTTTTTTTTTTTTAAATTCTAATATCTGGTGATTCCATAGAATTTTCAGTACTATACAATATAATACATCCTGATTTATATAGCGTTTTCACAACAGCTGCAGCTGTAACAAAGTAGGTATCTGAATACAATTTTGGATACTTTTGTGTGTGTGTGTGTGTGTGTTGCAATTTCACAGAAGCTGCAAGTTACAAAGATCGTTTTGAATCACATGGAGACAAATTATTAGTGCTTTTATCCCCCCCCCAAGATGGCACCCGAGTAGGCAGCCGTCTGTTAGTGCTCCTTGCTTTGTTGTTAAGCTGCAAGTTACAAAGATCGTTTTGAATCACATGAGGACAAATTATTAGTGCTTTTATTCCCCCCCAAGATGGCACCCGAGTAGGCAGCCGTCTCTTAGTGCTCCTTGCTTTGTTGTTGTTTTTTGTTGTTTTGGTCTTTTGTTTTGTCACATGGTGTTTGTTGTTTCATCGTGTGAACCTGATGTGGACTGTTTTAAGCGTTTTTTGGCCACGACATTCGTCAAAGAAGAAGAATCTGTGCTTGGTGGTTGCGCCTTCTCAGCAGCACGCCTATACCAGCACAGATTTTGATTGGGAGGAATGTCGGACCATTTGACTGTCGGTGCTGGACAGCCCCGGTGTGCTTGTGTTTTTTGCGCCTGTAGTGGGCAGGATTTTTCACAGCCCCGTTTTGTTCAGTGGAGAAGTCGGCGCTGTTGGACAGTCTGAGTTGGTGCGGCTGGATGGATGGCTGCTGAAGTTGAGGACAAGGAGAGATGAGCGTCGGCGCGGAGCGCAGATGCGTATTTGGAACTGAGAGTCGCCGCTTGGAATTGAAATGGATTTACATGGGACAGGAGAAGTGAACCAATCACTTTTTTTCGTCAATGGATGCGACAGCTTCTTGTTGACATTTTGGCACATTTTGAGCATGACGTCTCTGATCCAATGGTGAAAGGACACTTCGATTCTCTCCTCTTTCATCTCAAACTGCTTTAACAGCAAAGCGTATGAGGGAAAAATGGTTATGACTGCACGACTGTCCATGTTTTATGTTATGTGTTGTGTTTATTATTTTACTTTATGTTAACTTGTTTTGTTAAACGCTTTGTTACAGGTGCTGCTGTTGTGAAAGCGCTATATAAATCAGGATGTATTGTATTGTATTGTAATGGATTACTCCGATTGGCTGGCAACCGATTCGGGGTGTCCCCTGCCTACTGCCCGAAGACAGCTAGGATAGGCTCCAGCACCCCCCGTGACCCGAGTGAGGATAAAGCGGATCGGAAAATGAATGAATTAATGTATTGTATTATTAGGGCCTAATAATTAGGCCGACTTGCACTGCTTCGGATGACAGGATTTGCTCATATTTGACTTAACTTTATTTTACTACATGAGTGGGAAAAACATGATCATGCCTGTTTGCTCATATGATTGTGTTCTGCAGTGCGGTTTTACACCAGTCAAAGCTATCGTAATAAACGCTGATTTAATACCTCTTTGGCATGTCGATCAAATATGAGCATTATCTTTCTACGGGAATAATGTTTGATAAAGCTTGTAATGTGATGCTATTACATAGTGTATGTAATTAATGTTGAGACCATTCATATGCATTCAAATTAGTGGGTACAAAAATATGGCACAAACTGGTCTCCACTGGATAACCCAAAGCACCCATTCATGAACATTTGCTTCAAAATAAAAGTTGTTTCACAGCTTTATCTTTCAGAATAAAATGAGACCTTGGAATAGTTTATGAAAAGGCACAGAGGCACACAGTTCATTGTTAAATGCAATCGGTCCTCATTAAAATCAAAACTTCATACTGTCGAAATGTCTGAGGGTCAAATTGATCCCCTTTAATTATAAATTGCTTAAGGGAGAGAAAATGTGTCAGCAGACCTACCTTCCACTGCACACACTGAAGTGATCAAAAGCAGAAGAACCGCAGTTAAAGTGGCCAGCATGGCTCCGTTGAGCATCCCACTGTCCTCTCCCATCATCCAGCGTGCACAAACAATATCCCACTGAATGCACAAGTCAGGATTCCACAGGAAATTCACATCGCCATCGAGACAGAGGAAGCCGTAGCACTGCGCTGGACGTACACTGAAGAGCGCTCACTGAAGGTTGGGGAGAGCTCTCCTGTTTCTGTCATTACCGCCTCTCCAACACTTTCATGGCCAATCGGAGAAGACGATGGCGGCTCATTAACCAATCACCTTTCTTGTGGCGCCTGACCTACCTTCCGAGTCTAAGCCCGATGGACGGATCCCGCATGGTCGCCCTTGTAAAATGAGCGACTCCAAGTGGCCAACAAATGGCACCACATCTCTCAACTTTTTGTAAATTCATGAGCGATTTCTGAATGTCACCTTGGATGTCAATAATAATAATAATAATAATTACTAAATTTATGTAGCACCTTTAAAAACACGTGTTTACAAAGTGCTTTTGCTGACCAATTACAAATCAAATCCCGGGCAATAACATGCAAATAACCAAACACATAACAGCAAAAGCAACAACAGTAACAATAACATTTTTTTTAAAAAAAAGTCATGTCTGAGGCAATACAGGATTCTGACAACCCAACAGATATCAATTGGTAATTCATTTAAAAATATTTGGAAACAAATAAGTCACAAAATAAAATTACTTCCGTAATAATAATACTGTAATAATAAAATGCAATAAAGGCTTTCTTTCATCTCCTGGATCTGGAACCGCTGACTGGCTCATAGGTGGTTTGAAGTTGATGAGTGGTAGCTCATGCCTGCTTTCAAAGTAATTAGTAGAATCAAACTCAGTTCTAAAATAGACTGGGAGACAGGGAAGTGACCTCAAATGGGGAGATGTGGTGCCATCGACTGTAGTGGAATTAGAAAGAAACCGCTGCTGCATTCTGATCCAGCTGGAGGTAAACAGTGGCGGAGCTACAGGATGGCCAAATGTGGCCAAGGCCACTCCTAGTCACTTTGTGACCTATCCCCTGGCCACCTCCATACCAAGGGGAACATTTTGATAGCTGTGATTTTTCTGCCATTCTCACATGGATGTAGTATTCTTAGACCCCCTGTTACTCTGCTACAACTTTTTGTTCGTTTGTTTGTCTTATATCTGCATAAAATAATAAATGTACAACTGATTTGATTGCAAAATCTAATCTTGTTTTAAGTAAATAACATTCAATTCTTGGATTCAACTTTGATTTTATTGATCATGGTTCTGACAACATGATGCAGATGAATAGCACTGAAATCTACCTGATGAGAGAACATTTATAATTTCATTCTGACCAATGAAATGTGCAGCGCTTTTCCCCAACATATTGGTAGAACCATATGCCACAGGCTGTGGCATTTTCGCTGACAGAAAATAATGTGAAAACGCCACAGAGAAGTCAATGTATTCGAGTTAGGCACGCTGAGACAGTGGCAATGCAAGATGTTCGCCAATGGCTTCACTTCTCACCACACACACACACACACACACGTATATATATATATATATATATATAAAATACATAAGCACTTTACAATTCAACTCTTAGGGTATACATTTTATTGTCCAACCAGTGGTTAAAAAAAAACCCTAAATAAAAAATAAAAAATTGCAAAATAAAAAATAAAATCCCTGACATTAACATAAAATAAATCCTCTCTGATACAATTTGGGCATCATGCGTCAAAACGGAAAGAGCTGCCAAACAGTACAGCTCGCGCACTTGACCTCCTCCAGCATTCCTGATTCATTGCCCACCCGACCACGTTATATTTTACTGCATGTATGAAAATCCATCTGTTTGACATGCAGTGAGCAAAGTATTTAATTTTTATGATGAGTATGTTTCCCTCTTTTAACCTTTATACCTCCTAACAACACTGATATGTACTGGGGAAAAAAACAATGACTAATTTGTGACAAATGCTCAATTGCCACTGAGAGTAACAGAGGCTGAAAAATCCCAAATCTTAATTGAGCTGTGATCAGGGTCAAAAAGGTCAAACAAACAGTCCACACAATAGTGTGCTGCCACACTGTTCACCCCCTATATTAACCTTTAGATGACAGAACAAGATGCATGATCATACTTTTAGAATAGGTCTAAGTCTGCTCAGGCGCCATTGCAAAATAAATGACACATGAACGCTGCCGACTGAAATTTTCCAGACCTACTCATTATTCACTTATCTCATGTGCGACTTGTTGCGTTTAACACATCACATATTACTGTAACGACACACAAGTTTAAATTGTCCTGACAAAATTTACTGCAACAATAAAATTGTAGTAACTGGAATTCTAGGTGATTTGATAAGCGGATTTAAGAAAAAAATATGAATAATAATAAAAAACAAAAGGTAGACACAGCCCTGTCAATTGTCCATTTCTATGTAGCCTACTGTATATTTGAGCAAACATGAAGCTTGAAATAAAGGCAAGCCAAATACAGAGATTATTCTATCATAAAAAAACATGAAGTTGTGATTCTGAAGACAAAAACAAATGCAGTATAGGTTTTGTGTTTGTTTTTTGCAAAAACAGTACCGAATACAACAAAAAGACCAATTTGTGTGGGAAAAAAATGCAGCTTTTTGATGATTGAACTTCCTACAAACATGTTCAGAAAATTTTACTTTACTTTTACTTGTTTGATGATTTTATTTGGTCCTTCTGAGTGAATTCTGCATTTTATCTCGCTGTGCATTATGGGTATCTTCCAACAATTATTATAGTGATCTAATTGTAGTTTATCCAGGCTGAACTCTTCATCTTGATCGTATAAACAATGCGAGGCCCTCACCCACTCCACGGCGCTGTGGTTCTGCTCAACCATACAGTTACAACTATGGAAAGTAATCAAATAAGTACCGTCAATCAATAAGTTTTGTTTTTTGTTTTGTTTTGTTTGAAGAAATGCTAATCCTGATGTGTTGTTTTAACGTCATGTGGATCAGTGGATTCAGGCAGGCGTGCATTCCGTCAAAAGTCCCCTCTTAAAATTATGTTTTGTGACATGCGCTCAGTGTGGCGACCAAAAGTGGCAGAATAATTTGACTTTTTTTTTTTTTTTTTTTTTTTAATAATAAGAGCGAAATTAAATCATGCATTTCAGGAAATGTCAAGTCTGAGCTTTGCGTCTAAGGCTCGGAGACGAGCGCTTAATTCGATGGTGATGAGAACAGCAACATTTGCACTCACAACATTGAAGAAGGGGTGAACATTGTTCCGCAGGCCAAACAAATCCTACCAAATATTTGTTATAGCCAACTCACACCACAAAATCTTGACATTCACATCACAGGTTATAAGGGATTCATTCCCAATAGTGTTTTGACCTATAAATGTACATCCATGGCTCACTACATGCCAGTCTTGTTTCCATCGGATGAGAACATGATGCACACTGGCTGTACATATATACATTAATTTTTTACACTGTGCTGTTTAGGTACACACCTTCAACATGAGATGAAAAAAAAAAAACTACACACAAAATAAAATTCAATAAAAAAAGCTTTGAAGACACCACCGCATTTGTCACTAAGCTCAATCCCTGCAGGTGAGGGGACCACAATGCACCATGTAGGACATCAATTGATCATTATAAACATTCCGTTGACTTTTCAGCATCACTCATCTTCCCTAACATTTTGTCTCCTTTTCCTCATCATCGTCTTCCTTGGAATTCATTGAAACCAGCTCAACAAACGCAATCAAAGTATAGTACAACACAGCAAAACCAAACCGGGACTGTTGTGACTGTCAGTTTTTGTTCCTCCTCACGGAAATTTTCCCATAATGTTTGGCAAAATTAATCCAATTGTAATCCAATATTCTCTCTTCTGAACTCCAGCTCCCGTGCGATGATGAAGTCCTTCACTGGACTTCAGAGTCTGGCAGACGGCAGAGCATCATCGACAAAGAAGTAGCAAGAGAGCCAGCAGGAGCAGCGCTAAGAGGCTACATGGGCGGCTCTGACATGTGGCCACGCCTCTGACTTGGTTGACGTCTTGAGGGTAGCTGTACAGTCCCGGCCTGCTTCGACTACACTGACCGCTGAGGCACATCCCACTTCCCGAGCCGCTGATGTCATCACCTGAGCAAAAGCACCATAATATACATTTGTATTGTGTTCAACCATTATCTTAAATGTGCTCGGTTGTAGAGGGAAACGTTTTGGTTCATATACATGTACATTTTGTTTTGATTACAGTGAAGCCCCGGATATCCTTTTTGGCATTTGTGAAAGGACTTTAATTTCAGATTTGGGGGAGGCGCTATCCAATTCATGGTAAAGCTCAACTCAACTATGAAAGAAAACATTGAATGGGCACCATCTTGCAGCATCTTGGTGCCAAGGAACTGTTGAAGTGAATTGAGGCGCTTCATCAGGAGTGCTCTGCCATCATCTTGTGTCATCTCCGTGCCAAGAAAGTATATACTGAAGTCGCGTTACTAAACAATATCTTTGTTAAGTATGCCAGAAAACAATTTACAATTTATTATTTGAAAGTTGTCGAACATTTACGTGTGTTTATCGTTTGCATTTGTAGGGAACATGAATTTATCATCCAACAATTATTTAAGTAATCGTTCAGATCATGATAAGGCAGTGTGGAAATTAGCTATTGCAGCAGCTTGTTTTTAACAGTGCTGTATACATTTCTGTGACATAATCCAAACGCGAGTGATGTTTTCACACCTCTGTAGGAAAATGAGAATGCCAGATTAGCATACTTTCAATGTCAATTTGCCAGAGTTGATCAATTCTGTGTAAACAAGCAAAGCAATTTGAAACTTCATGTCATACCCTCTTCACAGCTGCAGTGAAAGTAATACATACATTGTTTTATTTCAAGTATGGTGTAAATTGCCAAAACATGAAATCTTTTTTGCTCCAAAAATCTACTCACTTGCGTCCTGGAAATCCACATCATTCCCATCCATGGCATTTTTTAGCCTGTTGCTCATAATTTTGAGTTGCATGATTTGTTGCCGGATCGTCATGTCTGGCTTGGTAATGTCAAGCTCCACCTCTGGATTGTTGATCTGATTGGCCAAGCCATCCCCCATCACCTCAGGAAGGTATCTTCAGCAAGTAGAAATAATGAGAAAATAACTGACTTGAAAGACGGAAGTGGTGCTGTCCTAATTGTAGTGCAAAGGCTAAAAGACCTGAAAGAGTGAGTGAGTTAAGTGATTGAGTGAGTATCACCACCTGCAAAATTGTGTTTGAAAGAAATTCTGTCAGGTCAAATAATTGCACAAAAATTCATTATCTGAACTGAGCATCCTCACTAGGCTCGTGAGCGTGCTGGGGTCGATCCCAGCTGTCTTTGGGTGCGGGGAACAGTACACCCTGAACTGGTTGCCAACCAGTATGAGACCCAATTAAATACTATTATCATTCCAAGTCTCTTGCTGTTTTTAAGCAAGTGTGCTGTTTTAGGAATAGGGCACTTTTTTCAGTTTTCAAGTTAAATACATTTCATGAATGTCATGAATAAAATCTTCAACACTATTTGATTTTGGCGGCCCACTGAACAACTGTTTAACACGACCGCCTCACAGTGCAGAGGTGCAGGGTTCGATTCCGGCTCAAGCCTTCCTGTGTGGAGTTTGCATGTTCTCCCCGTGCGTGCGTGGGTTTTCTCCGGGTACTCCGGTGTCCTCCCACATTCCAAAAACATGCATAGCAGGTTAATGGAACAGTTTGGATTGTCCCAATGTGTAATTGTGGGTGTAAATGGTTGTTCGTCTATGTGTGTGCCCTGCGATTGGGTGCAACCAATTCAGGGTGTACCCTGCTGACTGCCCGATGACAGCTGGGATAGCCTGCGCGACCGTCGTGAGGATAAGTGGCTTAGATCATGGATGGGTGGAGGGAGTTTTTACGTTTGAGTTGTGAAGTTATGTTACATAACAGAATTATAACCATTAGTGCAGCAGTGACAAAAAAAAAGACTGTTTCTTTCAAACCTGGCTTTGGTAATGCCGTTCCAGCATTTATCCTTGTTGGCGCCACCTGCTGCCAATTTGCTGCAAAGTGCTATGGGGAGCTGGAGCCAATACTGCCTCATTTCCCTTAATTTACTGGAGAGATCTGACACCTGAGGATGACATTCAAACACAAAATCCAAATGAAAACTATCTGGTATCAATCTACAGTATGTTTCCATCCATTTCAAGCATTGTAGGGGAAGCCTATCCAGCCTGATCTACAAAGTACAGTCAGTTCAGAGGTAGGCCGCAGATAATCATTCACACTGACAGTTAGACCAACAATAAAATAATACTCTTATTTAGGAACCCTGCTCAACAAATGTTTTCTACATTTATTACTACAATGAGAGATGGTAGTGACTATTCTAAATGTTTTTGTTACGTTTATGCTTCTGAGCCATAGTTTTTTCTCAAGCACATCTGTTTTTAGTAATTAATAATAATAATAATCATAATAATAATAATAATGATAATACTCTTTTAATACTTATTAAGTTAGGCTAAGCAAGAAGTGGATTTTTTTTTCTGAAACGTCATAGCTGAACACATTGTAATCAGCATGGTAAAATCTGTTTTGCGCAAGCTTTTATAGGTCAAACCTCAAAACAAAATGAAAATCTATCTCAAAATTAAGTAAAGACTTTTTTTTAAATCAGTGTCAAAAATATATTAAGGGACACGTAAAGCCATATCTGATTAAAATTCTCTGTTGACCTGTGTCATCGACAAATTGGATAATACATGTTTCTGACTGTGGGAAAGAAACCAGGCAAGAAAGGAAAAACATGTAAACTCCAGACAGACAGATGACTTTCTTGCCATGGGATAAGAAGTGAGCTCCAACACACGATACACTGTGCTCCTCTACCTCCCGCTGTACAATTTATTGATTCCTAATTATTTCATCTGAGGGTTCACATTCTGAACACACCTGTATCTCGAGTCGTAGGCCTGCAGTAGGAGAGGGTTTGTATTCTGAAGCAGTCAGAGAGCCGCTCTTTTTTTTCTTTGGCTCGAAAAGCATTGGACTTCCCGTGCCTGGCTCAACTGGAGTGCCGCATGTTTGGTACACCTATGTTGGGATAAATTGAAAATGTTGCAGGCTTATTTTTAAGCACATTTTAGCATTTAACAACAAGAAAAAAAGCATACCTTGTCAATAACAACAGAGTTGTAGTATAAGAAGTATTCTATTTTGAGTCAAATACAGGTCCTTCTCAAAAAATGTGCATATAGTGATAAAGTTCATTATTTTCCATTGTGTAATGATAAAAATTTAAATTTCATATATTGTGTACTGTATACAATTACGAAGTAGAGTTGTGTTAAATAGCCTGCATCTGTTATTACACAGCAAGCAATAGCTACAGAGATACAGCGTAGACAGACAGACAGATCGATAGCTACATAGATAGATAGATAGATAGATAGATAGATAGATAGATACAGTACATAAATATTCAAAGGTATACTTATTATTACTAGTACATGTATTTGTGCCCTTCATACCGGCTTGACGAGTGCATCAACGCAACGCATCTTGACGGCATGAAAGTGATTATGAAAATGAAATATAACATTCGCCACTAGATGTCACCATAGACATATTTACAATGTTCTTTTTTATCTTATTGGCCAAAATAAATTAAATCTTAAATTAATTTCCTATTGCTACTGCTTGATTAATATACTGTATTAAAATTGAACCAGTCATCAAACAAAATGAGTTTTAATATATTTTATACAGACCAACAACCAAGATTTACAATAACCGTGAGTTCAAAATTTTTCACAAAAATATGACATTTAGAATGCCGGAATGACAGCGGAGTTTTTAGGAGCTCCAGAGTATTTAAAAGGCAAAATAAAAGAGATTTTCTTCAGCGTCCAAGGCCTTGTTTCGACCATTTCGGCATTACGTTTCACATACTGAAAACAGTGCTGTAAACAGTAACACTCACAAAGAAGAAGCAACTTCATGCAGGTTCAACTCATAATTCGTTGACTCCAGATTTTAAGCACTGACTGCAAATCTAATTCAAGTATGAAAACTGTTGTCACTGTGTGCAAATATTTAGGTCCCCTAAAAAATGGAGACATTTTGCAAAAAACCCTAACTCAAAAATGGCAAATCAGAGAATTAAAGGGAATATGTACACTTTAATCACTTTCGTTGAAAAACCATTGTGCATAAAGCCAAAACGATAAATACTGACCCTGTTTAAAACGTCATCGGCCAAACTGTAAAAGAATTGCAAATAAACCAAACGGACTAGGAACAACAAATATTTTTCAAATGTTCAGTAAACCAAAAGGCGGTTTGGTAGCCGAGAGTCCAGTCCACTACCTAACCGAAAGCATATCCTTCATCTTATAGTGTCTGCCAAGCTAAAACAAGTACTTTACTGCAATCGTCAGAGTCACAGTGACTCACCTACTTTACACCTGCTCGAGGAAAAATGTATTTAAGACCGAACATAATTTGTCCATTAAGACAAGAAATGGATACTAAACATGCTCGATTACACTTGCAGACATACTATAGTGTGTAACTGAAGGCATCGTTTTCAGAAAGAAATGTTCAATAAGACTAACTTACTTTGGCTGAGACGGTCTCAACATTTTCCTTTAGCAAGCGGACAGCCTCAAAGATCTGAGCGGGGATGGATGACACAACCACATCGAGACTGGGCTCTGTGCTGAAACTCGATGCCACTTGGATCATGGTATCTGAAAATTGGATTGCAATTCCTCAATATCCCATCCTTTTATCCATGTTGTTACTGTACGGTATGTAAGAATATTTTTACCGATAAGATTCTGCCATTCAGGGTTCAGATCGGCTTGGTTTGCCAGGCAGCCCTTCACAACATTGGAGCAGTAGTTGGCACAGGGTTTGACAGAGGCAAGGCCATGGCAGTGCGGGCAGTAAACAAGTTTCACCAAGGCCTTAACACATTCTGGACTCAGAGGGACCTGGAGAGGAATGATGTACTGTATTTAGGTAAACTGTATACTGTACTGTATGCCATGATTTCTAACTTGTATCTGCAGCAAGCCAAGAACAAGAATGAACTAGAAAAACTACAAAAAAAACACAAAAATCTGAATTAAAACGCAATATGATCTGAAATGTCAAGAAATCGTAGAAATTGGAAAATCATATACAGTAGGGTTGTAGTACTCCCAAGGTGTGAAATTTTTTATGACTGACAGCCTCAATATTTTTCTCAGGGATATTTTGCCAAGTCTATCGTTGAAAATCCCCTACATCACAATTTGGTAAAATTAATATTTTTTCATACTTCTGCAGGATGCGATTGGTCAGTCCCCTCAAGTGTGTGCTATTTTTACACACTGAGAGGGAATAATCTATATGGCTGTGAGTATTGCTGGTGGTCTGTTTGTGTGTTGTTAGTCTTTGTTTGTTAAAGCATCAATTGTCAGGTCGATAATTACCATAACATATTTGTTCTATTCCCGTTAGCCTGTCTATGGCTTTTAACATCATGTATTAGCATTAAGCTAATGGACATTGGTTGGACAAAATTGTCTGGCTTGCTTCAACATTTTTGGGTTCAAATATGCAACGTTAGATTTCTTTTTGATGTGTCGGTTTAACAGAAATCGTCACCAGGAAGTGAAAGCTGGAAGCAAGCATTCTTTGTTTTCTTATTTGGAGAGCTTTGTGAGCCAGAGGCAGGGTCAAAGAAATAAAAGAGGAAAAAAAAGTACATTTAACATGTGTTAATGTGTTTCGGAGTTTCAATGTGGTTAAAGCATGCCCAAGAGGGGGGTTCCCATATGGACATTCAAAATCACAGTTTTTCACCTATTGTGGGTGTGCTAGAATGAATCCCTCCAATAATTATTCTGGGATCATCACAACCTAGTTTCACCCTAAACACAAACCAAAATCTTAAAGTCAAAAAGTGACTCTTTATATTTGACCCCACACTGTGAACTATTTGGACTGATGTTCCCACAAAACCGGTAATACAATTACACACACTCACCTGTGAGACCTTTCTGACAACCTCGCCACTGATGATCAGCCCTTGGACAAATGACCTAGCTGTGACAAAAGCTCGTATAACCTTTGCTTTCATATCTCGGGGGACGTCGCCGAATGGTCGCAAGGTCTCTTGTTGCTTAGCAACACACTCGAGGTAGTCCTCGGACAGGGTGACCTGCAAGGATGGTGACAGCGGCGCATATCATAGAAGATTATAAATCAATCAGTCAATCAATAGATGAAAACTTTATTTATAGAACACTTTTCACACCGAAATTGTAACACAATGTGCTTTACAGATTAAAATCATGGCGAGGAACCAGACGAGTGCAGGGACAGCGAGAGTTCAAAAAGTACAAGTGGTTCTGAAAGATATGAAGGACCAAGACCATGAAGAAACTTCTAAACTATAAAAAACAAATCTTAAAATTGATTCTCAAACAGATGGGGAGTCTGTGCAATAATTCTGAAACCTGTGTAATGTAAGCCCGCCTCCTGGTCTTCATCAAGACATGTACTGCAGAATTTACAGATTCTTTCTTTCTTTTTTTTTTTTTTATTTATTTGTGTGTCTGATGAAATGCATTGAATAGTTAGGTGACTGTAGCAATTGTCTTGTATAAAGGGAGAACTTAACATGACTAACATGATCTTATCTTTTTTGATAACGTCACAACCTCTTTCGTTCAATCACACCAGTCCTGATGAATGCGCTTTTCCCAAATGCTATATATCTGTCACTGTAGGTAAAATAACATTTGTTTCACCAAACCGATGCGTTTTTACCATTTCATCATCTGATCAGAATTTACTGGCTCAAGACAAAATAAGGTTTGTACACAATGAATGGCAGGGGCTTTCTTTTAAAAGAATAATCGGAGCAATTTCACTGTTCACATTTTCACTTTGTCCACCTCAAATGACTCATGAAGATGGCGTCTCTACTCACATTACTGGGGGTGAAGCTTTTAAAGGTACGTTCCAGAAGGCGCGACCAGAATTCACTCAAGGTCTCATCCAAGTTAAGAGCAGAGCCGCGGTAGTACTGTTTCAGGTCGGAGTACAAATCACCATAGAGTCTTGTATTTTGGGAGTACAGGGCACCGAGGGGAGATAGCGCCTCCTGGAGGGAGCGTTCAGACCGACTGTGAAGTTCAGTGAAATAGGCTGGAAGGAGGACAAAGAGTAAGAAACACGTTAACGGCAGACATGAGTCTCAGGAATCCATCCATCCATCCATCTTCTGATCCGCTTCATCCTCACAAGGGTCGCGGGGGTGCTGGAGCCTAATCTCAGCTGTCTTCGGGCAGTAGGCAGGGGACACCCTGAACCGGTTGCCTGCCAGTACAGAGCACACAGAGACGAACAACCATCCACGCTCACACCCATACCGAGGGACAATTTAGAGTATCCAATCAGCCTGCCATGCATGTTTTTGGAATGTGGGAGGAACCCGAAGAAAACCCACGCAGGTCCGGCAGAACATACAAACTCCACACAGGAAGGCCTGAGCTGGAATTGAACCTGGTACCTCTGCACTGTGAGGTTGACACACTAACCACTCAACCACCGGGCCGCCAAATTCTAAGGAATATTTTTTTTAATTAAATTTTTCAATATAATGTATTTAAATTAATTAACATCTGATTTAGCATTTTGAAAGGCTTGAACTTGTTTTTTTTATGTGTTAAGAGTACTTGAGGCTGTCATAAAGAGAACCCTCCATTCTTTCATTCATTTTCTGTCCTGTTCATGGTCACGGGTAGCGACAACCTCACCCAACTGACTCTGGGCGATGGCAGACCACACCCTGGACTTTTTCATAGTAATACTCAGTCATAGGGCACATATAGAAACAGACAACCGTTCAGATTCACATTCACGCTGTCACGGAGTGGGAAGTGAACCCACGCTTTCTGTGCAAAAGCCAGGCGAATGTCTCACTACTAATTAGCAACACATACTGTATCTGCAACATGTTTGTAAAATAGATTTAAAAAAAAATAAGTGGTCACAGTCACTGCAATAAAAGGGGTCTTTTTCCTTGTGATCCAAGACTGCAAAGGTCATAAACAGTTGGATGGTTACATACTGAAGGCATGTCACTGTGACCATCGGATTGATAAAGACTGATTCACAAAGTCATGATGGCACGTTTGTCACCTGCAGCATTCAGCCATCTTCCTGCGGTCATCTGTCTTTTTTCGCTTCCTTTCCCTTTCCTCCCTTCATTCCTTTATGTGTCAGATTTGCAGGGTTGCCTCCTCAGTGGGTCAACTGCTCATTAGCTGAACCAGCCCCTGCCCCAGGGGACACCTCCTGTTCATGTGTGTGCGTGTGAGTGCGTGTCGTTGGGGATCAGTGGATCGGCTTATCATGTTTCATTGTGTCTGCCTGACTCTGCCCTCATTATAACACCCAGTTAGGGGTCTCCTTGATGGACTTGACATACACATCCCCCACTCACACATGCACCATTACGATTGAAGTTGGGGTTGGGTGCAGAGCACATCCAGAGCTTGTAGCAAACATAAAATCGCCAAGCTCATCCAGTAATGAGTTCATTCTGCAAGCACGCACGCACG